CTCTCCTACCCTTCTATTCTCCACACGTAACAGAGTTGAGTTCGTGTATACATGTCATAGCATTACTTTATACCCACTATATAGACAAAAACTTTGGGCACGAATTGACTCCGTAAGTGTGACGTCATGGGTCCAAACAAAGCGTTGCTAGGGTCGTTGTTATAGAAAAATACATGTGGCTAGGTTTCGCTACGAAAAGCCGACCGTTCAAAAATCAGGAGTAGGATTTAAACTTCTAAAAATCACAGATATAGAAAGCTTGAATGTCGTATATGTTGCGACAGAAATGTGCCGGTAATCGCTTGTTTCTGAAATATTTGCGACTGAACTTCCGGTCCTCAAGATGCCTGCAGCAGACGACGAATGCAAGAAGTATGCCGTCTGCCACACGCCCGCCGGCCAAGCCGGCGCCTGCGTCTGAATTGTGTGAATAAAGAGTATATTCTGATATTGCATCTGTTTGAAATATAATGAGTTTCAGACGCTTATAAGAATTCATAGTGGGGTGCGATGCAAAATATGGTTTATTGAAAGTCCGGGAGTCGATCGAGTTGATCCCAGAATATTGCATTGCACCCGTGAGAAAAGTACTTCAGTCGATCGGTTTAGATCCCAGATTTTGTTTCGCGGACTTTGTTCCAGGTTGTAACCATGCATCGCGTGGAGAAAGATTCTTCAGTTTCTTCAGAATCCCGCAAGACCCCAAAGCACGAAAGAACTAAATAAAAAAAAATAAAAAAAAAATAAGGTGACTTTATTACAGATTGTACTCGCATCGCGGGTTCGATAGAGATTTTTTCTAAAAGAGCACATCCACAAAATTCGATGTACACCAAGGAAAAAAATATACTGCGAAATGGCGACAGACATGCAATTCTTTAATAACCCGACAACCTCAATTATAATAACAAACGACTTATCTCGACGGCGTACGATTTGTTTCTCATGCCGGCCTGCACTACGCCGGTAATGCACTTCAGGTCATCGTCGTAACTGATCTGCATGGCGTGGTTTCATTTTACGGCATTTTCATCTCTCTGAACCAAGCTGGGTTCTTCACAGAAAAAAACGCACATTGCGGAGGCCTCTACGGCCATGGCGATGCACTTGTTTTTGTCGCTCGTTTACCGACGCAATTCATTGAAGACACCCGCTGCAACAGAAACCAGAGAACATATATCGTGTCGTCTGCTACCAAAGCAAAACGGAGTGTAATACTTCAGAAATGGCTTTCATCGTTGTAATGCGACACTGAGAAGACAAGAACATCTTCGCAATTAGTTATCAAGAAGTTAGGTTGCTTACAAAAAATTATTTACTTGTTAGCAAAAGTCTAGCCTAACGTGGAGACTCCGTGCATTAGTCCATAGCAACGCCCCTAGCAACGGTTTGTTTGGACCCAGACGCCATGTTGTGACGTCATCACTTACGGAGTCAATTGGGTATTTTTGCCGAACCAGATTTTTTGGTCGAACTTTCAGGGTTCGACTGGGTCGAACCGGTTCGACGAACCTTAAAACTTTTCGCCAGATTCGACCGGTTCGACTTTGTGGACAGTGTGGCCAGCCCTTGATACAAGCATGTCTAGGTTTGGAGAATTTTTTTTTATGCAAAGGGTTATTTTATTTTGTGAACAGCTGCAATTAAAAGAAACTAAATCTAATCACTGAAGAAGTTAATGACTTAATTTTTAGTACTGTGTTAACTGAAATAGCCAATCAGCGCTGCACTTAATTCATCTCTTAGCCATTACCATCCAATCCGAAGCCAACGAGCCAGCCTGACGCGCATGCGCACACGGGTCGAACCTCGATACAAGGTTTGTCGAACTTTCCACTAAAAGTTCGAAAAAGTCGAACCTGGTTGAACTCGAACCGCGGCCGGTTTGCGACACCCCTAGTTATACACCAACTCATGTTTACAAACAAACCGGAGCGCCCCTAGCGGACGCCACCGGCGCCGCGCATGCGCGATGGGGGTGTGGGCAAGAAGCTCGCCGTCGCCCATAAACAAACCATTGAAATGCGATGTTATCGGCGTCTGTGTGAGTCCCCCTGCCCTTTTTCACTTTCGAATTGTTGATTCTACGTCTTCCTGGCAATGTCTGACTACTTGAGCGGCCCCAGCGAAATTAACAAGGCTCGTTACACCGCAAAACTTCGCGTCAATAATGTGACATGCGGCGATTCATTCCGCGTGGACGCCGCAGAATGTAGCTAAAGCCTGATTCGCATGATGAGATTCGCTCGTAATTTTCAGTCGCAACGTCGCTCGGGCTGCAAAAGCGTGAACCGTAGCTGAGATGGTCGACGTCGATACTGAAAATCTAAAGCAGAACCGGACCATGCGAGTCAGGCCTAGCAAGTCGGTGATGGTCACTGGTAACAATGATCAACATCTCCTTGTATCTACTGTTTACATCGAGCCTGCTCACCAACCTTCAAATTTAGGTCTTTTGAGGCGTGCACTTACTTCTTATCGCAAGTACCAGGCCAAGATTCTGTCTACGGGCCGGCGTCGTCTGAGAGAGCAGACGACAAGCAGACACGTTTGAAAGAGCAGACGACAGTTCGAACGAGCAGGTGGCCGTTTGAACTTGAAGACGCACTGAACGTAGTTTGCAGGCGGTCCGCACAACTTGACGGTTTTCTGGCATTCATGTTGGAAAAAAACAAATAAATCTGATGACCACAGCTATCCGTGAATTCAACCCAAAGTGCTTCCCACCCAAGCAATCGTTGTCCGACGGCGTCTGCTTTTCCCTTTTCACGGCACATATCCATATTCTCGGACGAACCGAGCACGGGAAAACTGACCTTCAAACCTTTCTCGGCACTTTTGGTACGACCCCAGTCGCGGCGTTTTGACGAGAAGGCAGGTTTTTGTCTCGTTCCTTTCAAAACAATGCAGGAATACACGTCTGGCATGGGGACTTCTGCCCACAGCCTCAGACCGGAAATGCGACCGACGCGCCACCACCACGCCGTGACGTAACAGAGATGAGTTCGTGTATAATGAACGACTCCATTGTGGACGACTCATAATATTTAAAAAGCGCAACGAGACACGGACAAGGAAGATAGAAAGAGACACAGCACTAACTTACAACTAAGCTATTTCCGTATATATACTAAAGTTGAGGCTTGGGCGAGTTGGTACATATTTCGGAATTAAAAACAGCGTGGAAAGACGAGGACCAGACAAAGAAGTGACACGGACGTAGCGCTATGTCCGTGTCACTTCTTTGTCTGGTCGTCGTCTTTCCGCGCTGTTTTTAATTCCGTCGTATATATAACCGGTGTCAACAAAAACAAATCAATGAAGAAACGCAGATACACACCATTAAAAGACTAAAGAATTGTTACATCACTCTTCGACAATTTGCTAAATTGGTAGATTTGGGCTGCAGTGTGTCAGCTAGCACTTCTTCTGTGCCATGGACAGATAAAGAATGCAGTCTCTCGACCGAAGGGGAGCAGTATGTATTGTGGTCGATGAGTGATTAACTATTTTAGCCTTTTAACAGTGTGCATTTATTTCTTCATTGGCTTGTTTTTTTGTTGCCACCGGTTATATATACTACGGAAGACTACGGATATAAAGTTCAGGTCTAAGTTAGCGCTCTCTTTTTATCTTACTTGTCTGTGTGTCGTTACACTTTTTAAATATTATTTTATGTTCGCACAAATAGTATTATGTCTTTTGTTGACTATTATATTATATATAATAGTCGACAATATAATTATTGTCGAAAGCAAGTCTGCCATTCGGCAAGGAAAGCATTTGTTAAAACAAATGCCTTCCTTGCCGAGCTGTAAAAAATGCCTGCAAAAGTACACAAACAAAACACTATATTAGATACTCCAGACCAGTTTTTCACTATTTACTAAACTAGTCAACAGGAATATCCATTCATTAATTTTACATAGGAAGGGCACAAGTTCTTACGCCGTAAATATTTAAATTGATGGGTTCTGCAAAATGTTTGACACTTGCCATCTTTTCTTTCATTTTCAGTCATCCAGACGTATTCATATTTCTACTGCTTGGTTACCAAAAAATGGTTAAGACACTATAAAATACTGTAGGTGCATCACTGGGAGGAGTATAAAGATACTGAATCCAGTATAAGAACTCCACTCAATTATGTCGCTTATAGCCAAATCACGATTACCACAGCTGTAGATGTCCATTGGAACAGCAACTAGCATTCCTGACATTGCATCAGGGCAGTGATGCTGGCTGTGGAAAGGCACACGTGCAGATGCTTCGCCTTTCAAAGGATAGGCTTCCGTGACTAAGCACGCTTCTTTATAAACACAGCCTGCACACGGCCAGCATTTGGGTTACTGAACTGCCACGTAGCTCGCTTCCACGGTCCCTCCTTTGCCAAGCCATCTGGTCTGCTCACCCCCGCGACAATACCGCCCTCAGCGTCATTCCCAAGCTAAGGAATGCAGCTTCTTCTCCAAGGAAACAAAGGCACAGGACCGATGCAATGTGCCACTTCCAGAAGAGGTTCATCAGTCAACCGTTCTCAGAGTTCAAAAAGGTAGGGCCTACGTAATAATTCTCATTCAATTAAGTACTCCAGTAGCGTTGTATTTCATGCCAAAACTATTGCCGAGCTGTTGCGATATTTGCTATCCACCCTACCTATTTGAGTTGCAATGCTACCCTATTGGGATAAGAATGAGGATGGAAGAATGTGATGACAATCAGTAATGCATGATTTCAACTAGGGTCACCAGTCCAGCGAACCTGCATCATTATAAACCGGAACAGCTGTGGAAGGAGAATCGGCAAGAGTAACCAGGGGCTCTAATCTAGAGCTGGCAAGGAATCCAAAAGCCGAGATCGGCTGGCATCATGCTTGGCCTTGGTGCCGGCCAACCTTGGCGGTCGAATGCCTTGCCGACTTCTTCGCCAAGTGTCCAGGTTAGTCTTTGTCATCAGCAATTTCAATGTGCCCACTACTCAACAATTTCTTACGACTCATACAAAATCTTCTCGATATTTATTTTTACAGAAACCACACAATGTGTTAATGAATTATGAAATGAACAATAACAAAACTCAAAAGGTATACAGCACAAAGCAATTAAAACTGTCTCGAGGCTTCAAGTCCAAAAAACAAACATTCTTCGTAGCTCAGACTTGCATGTGCACGTCGACAAATCTTGGACTGCAGAAGACCCAGGATGCAGACTGGCCCACCAAACAAGCCCAAGCCCCGTTTCTTTCCGTTCTGGACACACATGACAGACTTCCAAGGTGACATGCCGGTTGCTGCACCCACCTTCAGTGTGCCTGTAATGTGGCAAGCCTCTTCAGCCTCCTCAACAGAGCCTCGAAGAATCTGGGATTGGACGAAGACGCACTCTCCTCCCGGAGGTAGCTCTCCCTGACTTGGACGCCGCGGAAGAAGGCGTCGTTCAAGGTTGCTTTTACGTCCGCCTTCAGTGCCTCCACGTCTTCTACGGTGACCGCTTCACTCGCCGGCACACGCCCCAACGTGCCCTCGCGCATGGGCGTTCCGAACTGCGCCTCGGCCGGCCTGACCAGTCCCCTCTTGGCCCGCCCGCTCGGCACGCACTGCACCAGGAAGTACTCGAGGTGTCTCCAGAGCAGGAACAGCGCCTGCTCGACGGCGACTGTAAGCAGCGATAACTCCTTCTTCGCCAGCGCCGCCTCGCGGTTGATCTGCCTCCTGGCAGCCTCGCGCAGCTTCCCCGGCTGCAGAGACGACGGCTGGTCTTGGTCCGCCGCGAGGAGCAGCTCGGCGAGTTCCGCAGACCCGAGGTCGTCGAGCGCGGCCAACTTCCGGGCGAGACAGTCGCGGGCAACCGCAGTCCGCTGCGCTTCGGCGGAGTACGCCAGCAACGCCCGTACCAGCAGCCCGAGCCCTGGAGGAGGAGCAGCGACGGCACCAGACACACCGCTGCGTCCGCTCCGCGGGGGTGCCTCCACGCTTGCCGTCGGTGCAAACAAAATGCGGAACCACTTCCTGTCTTTTGTGCCCGCAAGTCTGCACAACGAACTACAGAAGCGGAATACACTGCAGGAAATGCGCAGCCGTAAGATTCGTTCGTGCGGCAGTTGGGACGCCGCGTCGGCTTCGGGCACCAGCCACGACAGCAACGAGAGCATCTGGTTCTGGAGCATCCTCAGGTGCCCCTGATGCTCCAGCAGCGCCACGTCGTCGTCGTCTTCCGCGCCGTCAGCCAGCACTGCCACGAGCGCAGACGCCAGCGCAGCTTCTTCTAGCGCCGTCAAATCCGAGTTCTCCAAGTTTCTGGGCTGCAGCATGGCCGAAAACACCTGGGCGTGCGCGCCCAGAAAGTTCCGCACTTGGAAGCCGGCCTCCTTGTGTCCGGGACCCAGGGACGCGGCGATCGAGAGCAGGAGTTGCGCCACCGGCACGAAGAGCTGTTGGTAGCACTTGGTCGCCGGCGGACACGGCCACCGAGAAGCAAGGTCGGGCAGCCCTCCGGCGATGCTGGGGTGCAGGTCGAGAGCTTCGCACTCGGCGAGCTTCCCCACCAGGCCGCTCTCCAGGAGGGCCTGGGCACCAGCAGGGCTCGCAGCCAGGCGGGTCAGCAGAGAGAGCTTAGACTCGAGGACGTACAGGCTCCGCAAGGAACTGCCCTTGGAAGATCCCTTGACGAGCACGGTCCGGATGTCGGCATCCGCAGACGAGACGCCGTCCGTCAGGTGGTGCAGGTATCCCTTGCGGCACAGGTAGGACAGCCAGTGCCCGTGGGTGTCGAGGGACACCACTGCGTCAAGCGCGGCCAGGGACAGCATCTGGGTGATCTCGTGGCTCCCGCACACGTCCCTGCACACTACTTCCATCAGCTGCTCCCCGTAGCTGAAAAGGGCCTCCGCGTGGCTCTTGCGCAGCCTTTCGCCGTCCGAAGAAGAGTCCTCGAACACCCTGTCCACGCCACCTCCGGGAGCTCCTTGGGTCTCTGGCGACCTGTGGACCACCCGCAGCAAATTGAGGAGGGAGCCGTAGTAGTTGGCTCTGACGCGCTGGAAGCCACTGCCAGTCTGGATGAGGCACTCGAGGAGACTCTTGAGCACCGCCAGGATGGACGAAGAGTAGGTCGTCAAGGACACCTGCAGTGCGGTGTCCTGGGCAGTAGAACGGTTTGGCATTAGATGTGTTAACACATTTGCTGCCAGTTAGATACCTATATTTTGCCTTTTGGGCAACATTGCAAACGTATGGTCATCTCAAAATTAAAAGAACTCTGAAGCAGACCGATCAGAGAACTGCGTAATATGTGTCATATTGCTAAGATTCAAATTCTAAATAGGGGTGGTCTTGAAGGAAGCACTTAAAACAAGGCTGAATTTAAAATGAAGCTATTGAAAACGGTTCATTCAAGCCACTGTGCAAATGTACCCTTTCGCGGTAGCATACTTCGTCACAATTATTAAGGTTAAAAATGATTAAATTACCACTTCAATCACATTTATTGAAAGGAATAAAATTAAAACACTTAAAACATAATTAAATTACTCTAATGACTGTGATTGAATTACTATGCATCTTCGAAAATGTCTATTAATCTGCAGCACTGTTCAAAGTGCCACTGCCATTATACCAATGGCATAGACATGTACATCTGGCACTGTTTCCTATGAAGCATGGTGTAACCCCCTACCCACCCCTTAAAAGATCAGAAAATCAACACTACCGGCATGTCCTACTGGGAAGGCTAAGACCAAGATGAATTTCTAATGTACTGCATGCCCACAAATCCAGGGGAAGCCTTTAATCCTTTAAGTGCCTTGGACGAGCTGAGCTTGTCAGCCGCTTTTTGGCTAAAAGTGCCATGGACGAGCTCAACTTGTCCAGTGGTTTTTAGAGCACAGCTCTTAGGCGCCCGTTTCCCACTTGAGTGGCGTCGGCGTAACCGCGCGGTGCATTATAGGAAATGTCCCATAACGCAGCGCGCGAGCCCCTCCCCCCCCCCCCCCCGGGTCACGTGACCTCGGGGGGGGTGGGGGGGGGAAGCACCCGACTCCCCCCTCCCCGAGGTCACGTGACTCCCCTGAGGTATGTGACCCCCCCCCGATGACATCACCGGCATCCGCTTAGTCATCATCACTGATGACATCATCAGCATTGTCATCATCATGTGACCCCCTCCCCCAGTACCCTTCCCTCCTCCTCCTCAAGAGCTGCGCTCTGATTCGGCGTTACAGGGAGTTGTAAACGGCTTTCACTTTTAGAGCGCAGCTCTTAGGCGCCCGTTCCTGGCTTGAGCGGCGTCGGCGTAACCGCGAGTAACTCTCGTAACCCTCGTGAGGGTTACGAGGGTTACCTTCACGAGGATTACCCTCACGAGGGTCACGAGGGTTACTAACCCTCGTAACCCTCACAAGGGTTACAAGGGTTAGTTACCCTGAAAAGAGTTACCCTCACGAGGGTCACGAGGGTTATGAGAGTTACCCTCACGACGGTCACGAGAGTTACCCTCACAAGGGTTACTAGGGTTACCCTCACGAGGGTCACGATGGTTACCCAGGTCACGTGACCCCCTCCCTCAGAAGTCACGTGACTCCCGTTGACGTCATCGCCACTGTTGACGTCATCAGTGACGTCACTGATGACGTCATCGGCATCGTCATTATCACTGATGACGTCATCAGTGACGTCACTGATGACCTCACCAGCATCCACATCCTCATCGTCATCATCACTGATGACGTCACAGATGACGTCACCGGCATCCGCATCGTCACGTGACCCCCCCCCCCCCCCCCCGACGTCAGATGACCCCTACAAGGTCACGTGACCCCCCCAAGGTCACAGGACCCCGCCACCCGAGGTCACTTGACCCACCCCCCAGTACCCTTCCCTCCTCCTCCTCCTCAAGAGCTGCGCTCTAATTCGGCGTTAGAGGGAGTTGTAAACGGCTTTCATTTTTTTGATAGCCCTCAATTCCACGGATGAGCTAGACTCATCTGAGTAGTTTGCGGCGCTGATCAAAGATGGCAGCACTCGTTTTAGTTGGCGCTTTCTTTTTTATTGTCGCCACTGATTTTTGCGTAATAAACTTTTCAAATTTCCTCTGTATATCAAGAGGAATAAAACTTCTAAATAAAAACATAATGGCACTTTTAGGTTACTTTTCGGGAAAAAAAAAAGGGGGGCGGGGGGCACTTAAGGGGTTAAAGTGACTGCATAAATCGGCTTGGTAACATATCGCGCTACGATTTGCCACAGAGGTGCCCGAAAGTGGTGGAAAGCGCATCCAAATTTCAAAGAACAAACTTCCCCAAGTAAAAAGTAAAAATCCGATAACCGACTTTTCCTACTTATGGTGACATCTGCCGTCCACACACCCCGACTGGTACAACTGACAGATGAACAGACAGATTGCCGCTGCCAGCATCTGTCGGCTGTTGCACCAATCAGAGGGTGTGTGGATAGCAGAGGGGTGCTGTAGGTAGGAAAAATCTTTTTTGTTTTTTCTTTTTACTCCGGTAAGTTTGTTCTTTTAAACTTTGATGCAATTCTTCCATCACCTTCGGGCACCTCTGTGGTAAACCGTAGCAAGATACGTTACCAAGCCAATTTATGCGGTCACTTTAAAGTGACCGCATAAATTGGGCATTCATGAAGCATAAATTGGACATTCATGAAGCAATCAAATGTTAGTAAATAATGTGTGAAATACAATTCAAAATAATTTTTTTAAGTCAGTTATTAACAGTCGCAAAACAAACAAAAAAAGTTGCCACGTGCTCGGATTTTTGTACTCGTTCAATGATGCAGTATTACAAGGCTCATAATCTTTTAAATACTGCAGGAGCACCAATTTGAACTGGAATGCACTTGTTGATCATGTTTGTGGTATTGCTTTTCAAAACCTTGAATTTCTCTGAAAGGTGTGATAAAAAATTACACCTACTGTTAAAAAGGCATGCATATAAGATGTGCATTCATTTGTCTCTGGTCTCGCATAGCCATCCATGTGTGCAGTACCAGACAGATCAACTTATGCCCATGGAAGGTTAATTTTTTTACTCCTATTAACTATAAAATGGAAATCATAACTTCTATTGAAGCGATTCATAAAAAAAAATTCCTAGCAGAAAGTCCCCCAGAGTTAACAATCAGTTTAGGGTAAAACCTTACAATCGAAATCTTGATATTTTTTAATCCTCTTTTCTGGCAAAAACAATTGAAAAATGGAATGATTTGGATGACAAACCTTTTATTAGGATGATAATGCAGCGAGGTCTGAAAATGCGTTATTTGGCCATTCGGACATGCTAGATTTCTTTACATGATGTTGACAGGATGACTGTTGATGATGTTCCTGTTTAACCGGGAACATTACTCAAATGATTGTACTTGCAGTGATAATTGCAGAACAGTTAATTTACTTTTTTCTAAGATAGAACACTGCTGAGACGGCCCAGAAGGACTAGCAGTATTGCACATAAACATAACCGTGTTTCCCTCCAAGGCTTCGATTACGTGCCCCAATCGAGCAAAACTAGAATGAAGTACACAGCTTACTTTCTTCACCCATGCTACAGCCTGCACAATGGTCTGCTCTACGGCCACTCATCCTAAGCAAATGACCCTCACCTGTGCTTGAGCTCCTCTAGTGCAGTCATTCGAATAAGTTGGTACCATGGTGAGAAGGCAGTGGTGCAGAGCTGCCATGAGGACAAGTAGCACTCCTGAAGAAGGTGCTAGCAGATCTGTCAGGCTGTTCCCATCCAGAAGCCTTCTCAGGAGTTCTTGAGCCACCTCCAGGAGAACCTGAATCTTGAGGTCCCCTCCAAAGATGTCCTGGGGACACACAGTCACCACCACCTCCACCAGCTGCTGCCAGGCCAGAAAGTAGTGTCTCTTAGCAAAGGAGCCCTGGCAACAACGGTTCTTGGCCAAAGTGTATTGGAGAACTGCCTTGACCTCTTGGACCACCATGGATTTCTGCCCCAATGCTACAAAGCCCTGCAGCTTGGCAGATGCCTCCAAGAGCCTCTGGTGTACTGCTCCGACATCTATCATGATGGGTCCTCCGGGCTCCTGATACTCGCATTCTGCTAAGGCCCTCTCTAACTCGACAGAATCAAGGTATTCCCAGGTGGGAGCCGAGGGCACAGTGTGCTTCATGGTGTCCACAGCATCCAGAAGCTTGAGAAGCTTACGCCGGAGGGTGCCCGCAAAGGCACTCGGACGCATAGAAGCGCTTGAAGACAGAAAGCTAGAGAGCTCTGCTGCTCCGTCAATGGGGCAGGTCAGCAATTGAGGATTGTCTTCCAAGAGGAGTGTCACGAGCCTTTGGATGTGTGAACGCTGATTTTGTGAAGCAGTTACGCGCAGTTCTAGCGCCACAGCTCGTAGAAACCAGGACTGCTGCATGAGAAGCTTGACATCTGTGTCCCCATGACTCTTGAGGTATCTTTTGGGCTGCTTTTGGAGGTGCTTGTAGAAGAAGTCCCGTGTGGACCGCAGGTAACGCATGGTGGGTTCAGTGGTCGCAGGGTTGGCACACAGCACGTAAACCAGCTTGTAGCCTAACTCAACTACCGAGGGGGGTCCACCGGGTACTCGGGCCTCCGATGAGTTGTCCAAAAACGAGAGGATGGCATGAAGGCAAGTCCTTGCAGACCCCAGGACACCTGGCTCTTGCAAAGTAGTCTTGGCAATGCTACGTTTGATATCGAAGCCGAGCAGGTAATGCCCCACATTGAGAACAGGGTGTTCAAGGCAGCTGAGAAGCATCTTGAGAAGTGTGTGACTGCTTGCAGTGCGGACTTCACGCAGTGTCCAGTCTCTTTCATTGCCTGCTGGAGGGTCCGGACCCAAGTCCACATCTAGAGACTCTGCGAAGCCGTGGATCAAGCGGAGTCCTTGCATCTTCTCGAAAGTGAATGCAGTGGCAAGATGTTCTGCCATTTTTGACTGACCACAGAGCAAAAGAAGGATCCGAGAGGCAACCAGGGTGTGCCACGGAAGGAATGTGTTGTATGTCACGTACTGCGAGATGACCAAGCCGTAGTCTGGCCTGCCTGTCCGAGGGTTGGCAGCCATTAGAAGTTGGTTCATGGAGCTCACAATGAGAGCTGCGTTGCTATTCCGCACCTGATGCAGGAAGGGTTCTTGTTGAAGCAGAGCAAGGTGTAAGATCCTCAGGCTCAACAGGGCTGCCTCTTCGAGCTGCTTCTGTCCGGGGAAAGGCAGGTAGGTCTCGAGCTGCCTCGCTCCTTCATCCAGGACAAAGAGAATGAGACGCAGGAAGGTTCCGTCTTGCAAGAGGTGTGCCAAAAGGTTGAAGGCCACTTGGGTCCCCAGGGGGGGAGTGTCTGAAGCCAAAAGCTTGGCTGCGTCGATGCCCGGCCCCACACCGTGCTTCCTGAGCAGTTTTTCAATGATCTCCAGGCACAGCCTGGCCACTTCCCACTTCTCCTCCTCCTGCTTGTAGGCTCGAATGTGAAACTTGAGGAAAACTGCGTCTCTCACAAAGTCCATGTAAGGGTCCAGCCCCGACCGCAGGAGCACCGCCCCGTGAGCAGAGGATGGCAGCGGGTGGTCCACCAGGGCAGAGACGAGCTTGAGCAGCGCACGCGTGATAGGGAACTCCTCGTTGCGGGCTTCCACTTCTTCCAGCTCCGTCTGGATGCCCGGTGGTGGGTTGGGGGCGAGACCCCCCTGACGGACGGGGAGGATCTGGGCTCCCTCGAGGCACTGCCAGATCTTGAGAGCCACCTCTGGAGACGTCGCAAAGGCAGACAGCGTCCCCAGAAAGGCTGCCTTCAGCTCGGGGGCCACCCCGCACCCAACCAGGTGGACGAGCAGCGCCAGCGGAACATGGTGCGGGTTCTCCGCAAGCGTGATGCGAGCCACTTCGTCCCAATGAACGACCGTCTCCACTAGCTGCAGGACCGCTATGAGTGCCTTCACCTCGACGCTAGATATTCCCCGTGGAAATGGTGGCCTGTATAGGTGGGACTCGACACTGAGGGGACCTTCTTGCCGAAGACTGTTGTAGTACGACCGGAGCGACCCGAAGAAGTGATCCCAGGAGACTAGGCTTTCCTGGGGTCCAGTACTGTAGCGACCGTTGTTCTTTAGCAGGTTGAAGCAGTGGTGGGCACCGGTCCTTGACTGTGCAAGGCTAGTGAGTACAGAGACGTACGGCGTGAACAAGGAAGGGGGCAACAAATCGCCAGAAAAGCGCAAGAACTTGAAGAGTGCCACCTGACGCTGAGACGGCTTGGGTGCGTAGCTGTGGTCCGAGACGTCGCCGGGGCACCAGTACTGTTCTGAGAGGCGCAGCTCAAGTGGGTCTTTTGCATAGACCTCTGCAATCAGCTCCAGCAGGTGCTCGAAGTGTCTGGTCAGGGTGGACGGGGGCGCGAGCCCGTCGTTCAAGTAGGCGCTCACGATGCGGGCCGTCTCGTCCCCCTGGTTGCGCAGCTCCTTCACCCGGAGGGGCATTAGGACGATAAAGTCGACGAGGAGGCCGTGCATGCGCTTGAGGAAGAACTCCTCCCGGTGGAGCAACGGGGAGCGCACCACCAGGTGGAGCAGGCTGGGGAAGGCCCGGCCCTCTAGGGCAGCGTCCATGGTCCTCTCATCGTCCTCCAGGCAGGCCGCCAGCTCGGGCTCGACGCTCACCAGCGGGAACTGCGAGAAAGTGCGCAGCGTCAGGGCCCAGGCGAAGCAGACGACGGCGCGCAGGCCCTCGATCTTCCAGGCGGCGTCGGACGACAGGTGGCGGTGCAGCGCCACAGCTACGTCCGGGTTCTGCACCAGTGGCAGCTTGTCGATCTCCTTAGAACTGTCCTCGCATGTCTGCAGCACGCTTACGTCCATCACGTACAGGAGCGCCATGAGCACTGTGAGCGTCACGCCGTGCAGGGACCCGTCGCCCGCGGTGTCGGCCGACGACGCGACGAACTTGAGCAGACGCAGCGCCTCCTCCTTGGACAGCACCGTCTGGCAGCTCCAGCAGAAGACGATCTCGGAGAGCGACTGGTGCGTCTCCTGGATCATGTCGGTGACCTGCTTGCGGTAGCGCGGTCCGCCGAGCGCCTTGCTCCGCTGCAGCATGTCCAGCTCCCTGGCGAGGTCTAGCTTCTCGAGCAGGTCCATCACCTTCATGAAGACGCCGTCCTCGTCCTTCAGGCCGTCCGTGTACTTGGTCACGGTGGCCACGACGTCGGTGTTGAGGCCTAGCGTCCAGGTGCGGCCCTCGGTTACCTGGACGAGCGTCCGCAGCGAGTTGACTAGTGCCCGGCGCCCGTCGTAGTACAGCAGGACCGCCACCAGCCCTCGCGTCAGCTCCGGGAACAGCGGCTGCTGCTGCTGGCCCGCCAGCAGCAGTTCGAGCGACACCAGCTCGTTCAGCTCCAGCATGTCGCTGATGATGAGCGCTTCATCCACGATGCTCTGTGGCAGCACCTGCGGCGCCGTCTGACCCACGACGCGGATCCCTTCCTTGGACGCCTTGGCGACAGCATCCCGGTGCTGGGCGCTCCTGGCAGGATTCTGCAGCAGGGACGCGAAATCGGGTTTGTGGCGCCTGAGAGCGGCCACGAAGTCGGGAACGGCTTCCACATCCTTGTTGAGGAGCACGGCTTCAACGGCGAAGTTCAAGTCTTTGAACGGGGCCCAAACTGACGAGCCTGCCAAATTAACCGCCACGCTTTGGGCGGCCATTTTGACTACGCCACACGCCGGTCAATTTTAAAAGGCTTGGGCTTGACTTGGCTTGTCGGCCGTTCAGCACCGAAGAAGAATCACCAGAACAGCACCAGAATCACTTCACTGATCTGCTGGATCTCGCGCTTCCCCGCTTGTTTCTACCTATGGTTTCTACGTTTCTACCATTTCTACCTCGCTCATAGGCTTGTTCCAACGTTACAAACGTTACGCTTGTTCGCTGCGGCGCGTGTGAAGCCACCGGACGGCCATCTTTGCGTTGCAGAGTCTGGCGGCAGCGTGCTGCAGACACGTTTTTTACTCGTTCGTCGTCATTCGTCGAAAAAGACCCTATGTAAGGGTTGAGACTTGCCGTTTAGAATACGTGGAAATTTTTCCTTTTCACTTTCACACAACGCTAGTTGCTTTCAATATATTTATGATCTTTCTTGCCGCTGTGTTCTAACCTTTCTAACCACATAATGAAGAACCAACCAGCCCAACAAGGTATCCTGTTACTTTCTAACCACCTCGTTCGTTGCTCCTCTATGCTTCCAGGCCAGGTAAAAGTGATTCCAGACTCGTAGTATCTCGTAGACAACGAGGTACCTCGTTGTTCCAGTCTCCAGACACAAGTCGCCAATCAGTAGTTATTGATAAAAAAAAAATGCAGTGGGGTATAGAAACAAATATATATTTTGTTTTTACCACAAATTTTACAAAAACAAACTGTTGGCGGCTCTGCATTTCTATCATCTATCCTGTTTAGTCCCTGCGTCCTATCGCCAATCGTTACCGCCATCTGTAAAGATCGCGTTGTTTAGTCCAAACCATCCAAAGGTACACGTCCTCTTCAAGGGGGGGATAAATTTTGTGAAATTTTCTTTTCTGCAGGTTGCGTTCGATCGCCCTCTGCGTTTCAAGGAGAAAATGTCTCGCTTGGCAAGGTTAGCCGTTTCTGCTCGTAACTTCACAACTTCGGCGATTCGACGTAGCGGGCACGACCACCACGACGAAGGAGGCATTCCAGGCTCGGTAAGATACCCCTCTACCGACGACTTCAGAGGGGGAAAAAAAAATACCTGCGGACCTTCGTAATTACCGGGCTGCTTTGCAATGCTCCTCGTGCATGCGTACAGAACAGTTGGATAGCGTTTGTCCCTTTCAGAACCTGCCCTTCAAGATCAACAACAGGTTCGGTCTGACCGTCAAGTTCGCGCTGTTCTTCGGGAGCGGCTTCGGACTGCCCTTCTTCGCCGTGCGTCACCAGCTCCTCAAGCAGTAGAACCTCCGCAGCCCGTAAGCGAACTCGCCGACCAAGCTTGAATTAGCGGCAGGGTTATAATCGGTGCTTATCCTTTCAGGCACCTAGATGCTTGACGGTCCTTCCAACCGCAGCGGGGGAATCACGTGCTGCTACCCAAAGGACATGTAACTACTACGCAATAAAACCCCAGTGTTGTCTGATCGCAGCTGCTTTTGCTACATGAAGGCTGTTACCAAAGAGAAGACTGCGCTCGACTTCGCCGCTTTCCTGCTTCATCGCCATCTACAGTGGAGTTTCCTAGCGATTTTTCTCGGCATCATAGTCTTCGCTTACTCTCACCTCGAGTTCTGTGCAGTGCAGAGAAGAGAAAAATTTTACTGGGAAGACTGAGGTTAACCTAGCTGAACGATACTGCCACACTACTACTTGCTGGGAACAAAGTAGACAGTGGAGCGAGTGACCGTGCAAACCCATTTTGTGCCGCTATGCTCTCGAGCTCTTGCCTTTGGTAGAGCTGCATATGACTTGCAAGACTATGTAGCACTGTTTGCACCGGTCTAGTTGTTCTATAGGGCACCGATGAAATGAAAACAAAATGCATGGCCCTTGAAACGGGCATTGCCACCTGGGGCCTTGTGCTACACAGCGGTCTCGAGCGGAACCAATAAATCCGGACGCGTACCACCGTCTGCTGCAACTGGTCAGTGCCGCGCCGTTGACAAATTGCAGCAGGCGGCGTTGTCCTGGTCCCTTCATGCCGCTTGGTCCCGCCGTGTAGCATAGGGCCTCCGGAGGCAAAGACTCAAGAAGAGGACAACAATAGACATTCCTTCTCAAGTTTTTTGCTTCAAACAATGGCTGCAACGGAATTACCGGTTCAGTGCCCGACACTTGGGCTGTGCTGAGCGAGGGTCACAAACCAGGAGTAGGACGGATACCCTCGGAGTATTACCGGTTCCCAGGAGAAAAACTAAGGTTACAGATCATTTCTCAAGGACCTCCAGGTGGCACAGCATGCAAGACCACGCGTTACGCCGTTCTCATTTCATTGGTGCCCGACAGTATGTTTCGGCAGTTGATGGAGTAAACTGTGACCTCCAACAGCTTCCAGACAGAAAATATACAAATGCAATTGAATTAAATTAAAATCTGTCCCATTTATGGAAGCACCTGCTCTATGCTGTTGGCAGTATAGAGCAATCAGGGTCCCAAGGTGTGTAGTTGGGCGAGTTGGTGCATGATAAGAGGTAAAACTGCACAAAAAAAGACTGGGACAGGTGGACATGCTAAAGATGTTTGTAAGATCCTGCGCTCCCAATACTGGAGACAAGACTTCTACAAGACTGCTTAAAAGCCTGGTGCTAGGACAACACTCGTGCCAATGAACCCAGTGCCAAGCTTCGAATGTGCAGAGTAGGAGCCTCGCGCATGGCCGAGTTCTTGGGGAAAACCTTTGTTTCACATTACCTAAAAAAACGGAAAGGCATGGCTCCAGCAGGAAGCAACTCGGTTTCGGCACCATGTTTCGCTGCTTCTCCTACCGTCCCAGTGTCCTTTTGGCGCAGTTTTATTTATTATCGGTCACTCTCGGCACGTTGCAGCAAACAAAATCTGTCGTATTTTGATCATTTATTCTGTTCACTTTGCATACAGACAAATTCTACGAATAATAAAGATGCCTAAAAAATGCAGCACATCTGAACGTAAAATCCAAACATTGTTCGGCTGCGTAAATACGAGATTTGCCCACCTATATACAAAATATACACCTATAAAAAGCGACGTAAAACGTAGTGACAAGTTATCAAAGAAGGTCCCAAAGATCAAAGTGCAACCAGGAATGTAAATTGTGTCTGCCAGAAGCCTCGGCAGCGTGCAGCGCTTTTTTGCTTTAGAATGAACGTCTCTGCACATGGATCCTACAAAAGTGCATTGAAATTCCGGCACGCACGTCGTGGTACGCCGAGTAACGTAAGCTGGTCATCCGCTTCGTGCAACTCGATTTATCTCATCCGATGCTAGCCGAGTAATAACGCCGAATAGGTCGCGACTTGCTTCAAATTCTATACTAATGAGGGATGATCCCATGCCTACTACTTATCATTCAGAGAGCAGCCCCATTTACTGGATTCCAGAAATTATTGGCCATTTCAGAATAGGCCTCTAACTGTAAAACATTTCATAGCACACAGTATGTCATAACATGGACTCATTAATCGGAGACTGTGACAAGCGTAGAAACCTTCCCAAGATGGCGCGCTCCTCATCAATATCCTACGCTTGTTTTCACATCAAGAACCGTAACGAAAAAAGCTTGGCTCCTCGTGAAGCATTGCTAATTTTCCCCTTTGTGTAGAGCAGGGTTTGGCAACTCTTTGCAATGACAGGCCAAGCTGTCACGAAATCGTCACAGGTGAACAAAAGGCAAAGAGGAGAAAAAAGTGAAGACGTTCTCTGCCCAAGTATGGGAACACCAGACAATGCCAATGGGGAGTCCTTCCTTCTTGTGGGCCGTGGGTTGCCGACCCGATGTAGAGAATTTAGGTATATGTAGGTGCATTAACCCCAAAAGCATTGCTTTTTCCTCCGACAACCAAATCTTGTAACTATACTTTGCACAACGTATGAACAAAGCTTCCTTTTTCCTTGAGGTGAAAACGAGCACAGTGGACTATTTCTGTTGAAGTCCATGTACTTATAGGTACTGCGAGGCTTTGTCCAAATTCCTGGATAAGGCACAACCTAGGTTCCACAATCAAGGTTGCGATTTCTTACCTACAACTCAAAAGCCCACCGACCAACAACAGACTAATTCAAGATGGTGTGGAGACACGCCAGTCTTAACACTGATGACATGTTGCAAACAAACTGTTTCCTTTAGAACTCCGACAGATTCAATCCCATAGGGAACTTTTTAAAAGGCCTCCGATGAGGTATTTATGCGTGCCAAAATTATTACCGATGCAACCTACAGGGGCCCAACTAAATAAAGTAATATAAAATGTTACGTTTTTTTCTGCTCGAGACTGCCTCCCTTCCTCTTTTTCCCCCAGTCACACGCAGTGACCACAGAGCACTGGAGTATGTTACAAGTAATAAACTGCCTAGGGCACATTTTCACGAATAAAAGTAACAGAATTCAAGCATCACAATTTTCATTTCCCCAAAAATATTGAATGTGAGGCCAAAGTTCCTGATGCCCCATTTCTCCGTGCTGGCTCTCTGGTTCTGGTTGCACTCCGTTTTTCTCTGCAAATAAACGACCCGGTAGCAGAAAGTGTCTCGCATGCTGTCTCAACACCATGTTTAAAGATTTTTAAATCTTGCTTCACACACCATTAAAAAAAAAACTTGCCTACAAACTGCAGAAGTGTAGTAAGTTGGGCGAGTTGGTATGATGACATGATAAACAGAACAGCGCACACAAAGACAAGGACAGAGAAAAGGAACATGCAGGACACACAAGCGCTGACTCGCAACTGAATTTATACACAAAAGAAAGAAGAAGAAACCGTTCTGAAAGACACGCAGGGCACGCAGTGCTTATGACACGCGACACAACACCATCTAACTGCAATGTCTTTGCCCCATAGTCCTTTCTAAAAACAAGGTTTCAGTGTTTAGTAGTGTCACTGATGGGTGGCTGACGCAGCAGTCCCCCAGGCTGTTGATGCAATGTGCATAGGATCATGAGTGGCCGCCGTTCTTAGTGATATTTTTCTAGCAAGTGTTGATAGAGCTATTGAAGGTGCCCTTAGCACATCAGAAGTGTCAAAGGTGTTCCGATACGTTGACGATTTTTTGCTAGTGTATCCCAAGTCTGTTGAAGGTGATTACGTTGATAAGGTTATGAGGGTATTTTCCAGGTGCGGCTTTGGTCTTAAATTCACTGTTGAAAAAACCTTCGGACGGAAAGTTACAGTTCCTGGACCTTTCGTTATCTCTTCATACAAACCATATCTGCTGGAGTTTCTCTCCTAGGTGAAAAAAGGGCATCCTTCACTACACATCCGCACATTCGAAAGTTGTTAAAAGGGGGATTGCGGTTACCATACTTGGGGCTGCACTTACGAAGTCCTGCTTTCACACTGTTCGTGAGAGTTTTAATGCTCAAGTTGAGAGACTCCAAAAGTCGGGCTTTCCATCACAGGTCTTAAACGAGGTGGTGGCGGTCTTAGTACGCAAGACTAAAGGGATTTGGAGAAAGAAACCTCGAGATCCACAGAAACGAAAGGTTGTTGTACCATACATGCACAAAACCTCTCATAATTTAAAAAGAGCAGCGGTTTTGTGCATACATGCACAAAACCTCTCATAATTTAAAAAGAGCAGCGATGTGCCTGTGGTGTTTTCGGCTCCAAAAAGAACGGCGCAAATCTGTTCAAAGGTTCGCTCGATAGCGGATAACCTCAACAAAGGCAAGTGCCAGAAACGCCACAGCCACCCTTATGTGCCATGTTCAATTGGCGTGATGTACAAAATCCCATTAACGTGTGGTAAAAGCTATGTGGGCCAAACCGGACGGTGCCTAAACGATCGCCTTCTCGAGCATGATCGTTCGCTAAAATCTACGGTGGGTGGTCACCTTCCCGTTCACTGCAATTCCTGCTCGTGTGCTCCGATTCTAAAAGGCACAACAATAATTGGACACTATCGAGACAACACAACTCGCGAAATCTTAGAAGCACATTGCATCAACAGCCTGGGGGACTGCTGCGTCAGCCACCCATCAGTGACACTACTAAACACTGAAACCTTGTTTTTAGAAAGGACTATGGGGCAAAGACATTGCAGTTAGATGGTGTTGTGTCGCGTGTCATAAGCACTGCGTGCCCTGCGTGTCTTTCAGAACGGTTTCTTCTTCTTTCTTTTGTGTATAAATTCAGTTGCGAGTCAGCGCTTGTGTGTCCTGCATGTTCCTTTTCTCTGTCCTTGTCTTTGTGTGCGCTGTTCTGTTCATCATGTCTTGCCTACAAACACTCTCCCAGACTTCAGAAGTCAAACTTGCATTATTTGATGACTGCTTTCGAAAATAGTGACACAAAAGTATTAAGCTAATCTGGCTCGCCAATGCTTCCGGATGTCACAGCGGGGCACATGCAGTCAAAGAGCACCAGGCACAGCCAAGCGAAGATTCAGCATTAGCCAATTAGCGAGTCATCCCAAATATCCTGACCAAGCCGCTCGTCCCCAGATCCCACACAACTGAAACGGAGACAGCGCAATAGTCTCAACTACGCGATCGCCAGATTTTTTTAAGTCGTTCTCTTCCGAGCAAAGGCAGCTGTCGAAACTAACGTCGTCGCAGAATGCGTGCGCGCAACACATCAATTCGAGCGGTAAACCGGGGAATTTTTTATAAGCGGCTTAAATCGAGGGCAACAAAACTTGGGTGTGCAATCAGAAATCGGTTTGTCACCGCAAACCTTCGGCCGAGGTATCCCAGTTCTATGCTTGTCCGATCTCATAAAAGGCTTTCCACGCGACCCTTGGACGAAAAGCAACGGGGCAGCGGACGTTTCTCGGCCGCCACATTGCAGCGAGCAACGAGTTTTGTCGAGACGGTTGCAACCACGTTGGTGCATCTCGATCGACAGTCCGCATGTCCTCCGCTCGTCCCGGCGGCAGAAGCGCAGGCGACGGACCGAGCTGCGGGTGCCGCTACGACTGTGGCGACCTGAGAGCCACCTTGGCCAGCAGCTGCTTCTCCCGCTCCAGCTCCCGCTCCCGCTGCTGCGCCGTCTGGAGGGCCTCCTTCTGCTTTTGTTGCTGCAGCTTGAGAGCACGCTTCTGCGAGGCAACAGGGGACGGCACATCACCCTCGTTGCCGGCACTTCCGAGTGGGAACTCCGTTCGCCCCCCAGTCGATCGTGCAGTGAGAGCTATGTGCTCGCCAAACCAACCGACAGCCTCCCTTTGATCGCCCAAAGCCACTCCCCGAGTGTGGCTATGGACAAAAAGGAATGTCTTCATTGGTTCTTTTTCTGCAATATACGTCGTAGCGGGGCCCGTTGGAGTAACGGGGGCTTGTTATTCGGAGCCAGATAGTTGACTTGGTGCCGTCTTTCCTTTTTCCCCATTTCTTTTCTTGTAAATTATCGATACCACATTCTGTGTCAGAGCGCAAAATAGCACGCACCACCAACCGCGCAAGAAAAAGAAGAAGCTAACATTTTTTTTAGATGTTTGAAGTCGCTCGGCAATTTTTGTTAACACCGCGCTAACATTTTTAATACATAGAAATGTATATTCGAACAAACCACACTGCGCACTAATCAGCGCATATTTTATCGGCGTTTAAAATAAAATAACAAAATTGGCGAAACTGCGTGACTCACTGCGTGCCAACACTCTTCATTACACACACAGCAATAATCCTATCACGATGCACAAATTACGCATCTGTATGTCTTATATAAAACAGCTTAGGGGTGAACGGCATATGGTACTGGCTCCAGTAAACTCTCTGCTTCCAGTCATTTTGTGAATATGCCGAGTTTCACGTCGACGGATGAAATGGCGACTACACAAATCAAAAAAGCTTGGTCCAAGTTTTGCAACGGTGGGTATTTTCCATGCTTAGACGCTACAAAGTTCTATCCCAGGCAACTGCACTCTTCGTCAACTTTTTGTGTTACACCATTGAAGCTAGTGTATCTTGCACAGTGCTCCAGAAGCCGTCAAAGCTCCTACAGTGACGCGGTTAGTCAGAGTCACCTTGGAGCAGCTTATGGAGCAGCCAAAAGTCAATTTTGGAGCAGCAAAAAAAATGTTGGGAGCATGAGTGCACGCTTAATGTTTATTCGTACCACCGCACAGATTATGTTAAGATTGACGTGTCAGCCTGTCCAACTAAAAGGCAATGTCTACTTTGCTTTCTCACTTACGTGCAACCTCTTATTAGCATTGATTGCACGGCAGGAGCGATGATGATGTTTGGGGTTTAATGGCGCAAGAGTGACTCTGGCCATAATGCGCCAAGAAAGTTATTTTAAAGAGCCTAGCAGTTAGGTCTAAGCTTAGTTATCCAGCTATATCAGAGGCAAAAAGCCAATCGCATGTAGGAAACTTAGAACGAGAGAAGCAAAAAATAAGGATGAAATGAAAGATGGTTTTTGAAAAGTTTAGGAAGATATCTTCGAGGCTGAATTGACAATTCCACAGGATGTGAAGGACAGTTAACATTTTCTCACACATTTCACAAGGCTTTACATCTTCACCGCAGAGAAAGTGCGGGTGTGTAAATCGGGAATGACCGATTCTCAAGCGCCACAAAAGGACTTCCGAACGATGATCCTTATGGCAGGAACTCTCCCATACTTCCAAGTTGGGTTTAATAACATGAAGTTTGTTATCGATCTGTGTGCCCTAATCCAGCTGCCATAACTTTGTAATTGATCTATTTAAGGCGGGCTTAAGGTCTTAGTGTGGCAGGCCAAAAGACGTTTCCGTGTAGTTTTTGAAAGTGCCAGGTGGTCTGCAGCCTCACTACCGGGAATGCCCACATGACTGGGCACCCAGCAGAATTTCATAAGTTGTCCTAGATGGAAAGCTTTGTTAATCTGAACACAAACTTGTTGCACAAGAGCGTTCTTGCTGTCTGCTAAAGATGAAATAGCCAAGAGAACACTTCGAGAATCAACAAACAGAACTGCTTTGCTAATGGTATTTTCTAGAATACATTGAACAGTCATAAGGATACCAAACAATTCAGCAGAAAAAATAGTTGCTAGAGGGTTGAGTTGCCCAACTTTACTGAAAGTGACAGAGTAAACTGCACAGCCTACACAGGTCAACGTTTTCGAGCCATCAGTGTAAAAGTGGAGATAGCCCCTATATTACGGCAGAAGCGATTCCTTGTAACAAAAAAACAGCGTTTAGTTGGGTGGAGAAGCACCAGCACAAGATGATTGATGAAGGACAGCACAAACTGCTCCGAATGGGAATCTTAGGTACTGAATCCCATTGAAATATTGTTAGAATACAATAATCTTGTGCACCCAAATTAACATGTTCTTCAAGTTCTAGAGGTTATAATAAAACTGCAACTTATAATTCAGATAAAGAAAAAAGCGCATCATTTGATTAGGCACGTCAATTACGTTTTATATATAGAACATAACAAAAATTGGCATGTGAACGATTAATATACCTTCTTACCTCTTTGCAGTCAGATGCCACAACAAACTCCACGGTCGTTCAGATCAGGAAGTATTTTACGAAAAAGGGTCGAGAAAAACAAAAATGACTCCCCATACAAACGTAACATAAAAGATTTATTTTTGGGGCGCATCTGCTTTCTTACATTAGAGTGAAACTTGGGCGATGTGTGATACTTTCAAAAGCAGGTTGGAGGCCACTGTCTTGTGCACTCGCTTCATCTTTGTCGCTAGCTGCACTGCACTCGGCAGAGGATGTCTCCTTATTGTTCGAAGGAGGGACATTATCATAGCTAAGATCATCTCCACTTTCAAAAAAACAATGTAACAAATGTCCATAAGATGTGTCTGGCAAAAACAAGGCCATGCTTTGTCGTGCAAGTGAAATCAAAAGTGTGCTCAAATCTTCTGCTCACCAACAGTTTAGCTTTCTATGAGAGAAACTCGAACAACGAGAATAAAGTGCTAAAAAGAACATTCTGAGAGACAGCACCACCAATGCAGTAAGAAAGGGCAAAAGAGCACATTTAAAAGAGCGCGAGAGGTTCCAAAATTTAAAATTACGGACCCTCATTTTCAAAATTTAATTTATAAAGTGGAACGGATCCAGAACCGTGCAGCTCGTTTTGCAACCAGTAACTATAATTTTCGTTCGAGCATCACCAACTTAAAAAGCTTACTTAAATGGAGTCTCCTTTGCCAAACAAGAAAATTTTTACGGTTAAAGCTATTTTACGCTATTTATAATGATCAAACCGGAATCAATAAAAGTATATATATGCTGACCAAACCGGAATCGATAAAAGTATATATATGCGGGCACCAAATTATGTATCAAGAAGAATGGATCACCAGATGAAAGTTCAAGAAATTAACTGCCCAACGGATGTTTTTGCCCACTCTTTTTTCCCCCATACTATTTCCGAGTGGAATCGTCTGGACAGCTCAATTGTCAATTCCCCTGAAAACATGTTCTCCTCAGTTTTACAAAACTTTTGTTTCCAATAGGTATCTGGAACTTCTACGTTGCTTTAGGCCTTTCTGTTATTTAACTTGTTTGTCATGTATTTTCTTTCATGTAACCCCCCTACAATAATGCCCCTTGGGTGATGTAGACATGTGCATAAATAAATACCGTATTTACTCGCATATTGGTCGATACGTCGTATAGGTCGACCCCCTAACTTCGGGACCCCCGAAAAAAAAAAAAAATTGAAAAATATAATACCGGGATTCGCGTATTGGTCGACCCCCCAGTTTTGATGAGGCGATTTTTGAAAAACAGGTCGACCTATACGCGAGTAGATACGGTAAATAAATACCCGACATATGACCAGGAAAGCACTTTTATGATGCCGGCCCATGCCCGACTCATGACCACAAAGGGTTAAAAACATTCTTGCCGAACTCAATAAGGTTCTTCCTACAATTTCATCCACTTCTCCCGCCAATTTAATTCTAATTTACTCGCACCCATACAAAAGTGATAACTAAACAAAAACGTTTGCCTAAAAAATAAAGCTACAAAAGAGTGCATATAAATCTTGCAATACAAAAGTATCTTCGCTAAATCTCGAATTAGAAAAAGGTACCGCAAGGATATTGCAGTTTATCATATGGTATATAAGCCGCAGATGTCGCTCCTCTGCAGTACACCAGTGAGGAACACACTCAACAAACTTAACTAACCCTCCAGAACAGACCACGAATGTGAAAATGATCGCAAAACTTCCAAGTACTGTCAGTCTTTGATACGAAATGCAACCGAATAGCATGTTATTCGAGGCAATAATCGAAAGTTCTTTAAACTCGCGTAAGTATATTGTAATCATCCGACTGGGTGCTGAGCTATTATATTTTATATTTTCATTATTATCGAAATGAAACTGAGTTTTGGTGCAATGTTGGTGCAGACGCACGACCAAGTCATGGGCAATGGCCTTTGCAACAAAGCACAAAATAGCCAACACTGAGAGCCGAATATGTGCGAAAAGTTCTACAGCAGGCACATGTGGGTGCAAGCGGTGGATATGTTCATATCTTCGAAGAAAATGAAAAGAAATGGTGCTAGGGATAATGGGGAGAACTTGTAATATCCTTCCTCGGTCAATGGACTCGCGGCCCAGTACACAATTGCCTCCAAATTCCCCCAGGCTATGCCTAACACAAAACAAAGCTCCTTATAGTCTGTTGCAGGTTAGGAAACGCAGGACAAGTTCCTCCCACAAGGCCCTTTCCACTTCTGCTGAGCAAGTGCTGGAGACGCGAAAAACAGCAATTATGGCGACCCTACGCCTCCCACCTGGGAGGCACTGGGCAAGCAGTGAGCTCTAGAGAAGCAACTGATTACAGCGCCTGAACATTCAGGCAGTACAAATCATACTTTGGGTAAAACTCTCTTTAACAGGCGTCAGTGCAGACCATAGGCTGGAACGGGAGGAGCAAACTAACATTGCAAGCAACCAACCGTGTTTAAGTATCTGCTGCCTTTTTTTTTTTCGTTCAAATGTCGCCAGCATTCCTACATTATTTCACTTTATTCCGCAACAGTATCGGTCGTGGTGTTCCTCAGCTTGCCAAGGCACTTCTCGCTAGAGCTGCTCAAAACATTGGATGCACAGACCTCGAGAGAAACGCTCAATTTACGGTCGCATTAATATGTACCACACGCAGCTGAGCAACTCAGACCCAAGTCTAAATGGCTCACAAAGAGCTAAGAAAAAGGTTTTGGATAATAAACAGCTTAGCGTAGTTTGGTCCCCCCTTATTATAGACAAATCAAGTGAGCAGAAAGTGTGATAAACTAGGCATAAAAAGATTATTAAGCCAAGTTTTTTTTATATAGTGTAATCGAATGTTTCTTACGCTGTTAATAGAGGCTAAGCACAATCTACAGTTCCGCAGGGGAAAAAACATTGAAATCTGTGGGTAAGCCTTTATTGCATACCCACCAAGTTCGGAAAAAACAAATCCGGGAGAATTTCTAAGCAAGGGGGGGGGGGGGTTAGGTTTTTTAAAGGGCAACTCCGCTTCTTTTCCAGTAGTGCAAAACTATACAGTTCTCTTTGTTATCATCTACAAAACCCCCATGACAAATATTACGACGGAATTCCACCTAGAAGTTCATTAAAATCGCTGTCAAAGTTTGACAAGCACGAATCCGCTGGTTTTGGATGAGACGTGCGGGCCAGACAACACTCCCCGGCTGCATTTCCGCTTCCTCCAAATTCCTTCTCCCGGCACGTCCGCGACGTCACCAAGCATGTACAGCTTTTTTTTTTTTTTTTTTTTTTTTTTTTTTTTTTTCCCGGGGAGAGCACGGGTGGCGCCAGCGCCGTGAAAGACGTGAGTGACGCGCTCGGCCGGCCGGCGCTCGACTATTGATACTACTGATAAGCCGATCGCCTCGTTGAGCGCGGCTTGTGTTACATCGCATACTTTTGAACACCAAGTAAAAGGAGGAGAGGGAACCTGCTTTTGTAAGAATTTTGAGTGACAGGTTAATCTTCTATAATCTTCTGGGAAGAGAATAGCGACGCCTGTGCTAATCCAGGAGGCACAAAGGAGGATCCTGATAAGAGGGAGCTCCTTCTTCCCCTTGTATATCACGTGGGTGTACATGCTTAGTGATGCCGAATATACAATGTTGTCCGGCTTTGCCACCGTTTCGGTTTCAGTTTGTGCTCATGGCTGGAGTAAAATTACACGAAAAATATTTTATTTTTCGCGAAACAAAAGATTGGGGATTGCTTTTGAGTGCTTCAAAAAGCAAAATCGGCCACTATCTCAAAATTTTTGAAATTAAGCGGAGTTGCCCTTTAAAAAGAAATATTCATAACAATTGTAAATAAAAACAACTTCATTATATTTATATTGCACTGCTCATGCTAGCGAAGGACAGCGAGGCCTCACTATCATAGCAGCCATTTGTTACGACGGCAAAAACTACTTATTTAAGTGCGAGGAGGGAAGGGGGGGGATTTGCGTTTCTTGGGAGATTTTTCTGGCAATCGCACAAATTGGTCAAAATTCGGGAGTCACCCGGGTAATACGGGTAACTCGGCAGGTATGTTAATGGAAGCAGTTTGAGAAACCCCTTTTAGCAGCCCTTATGCTTGTGTCCAGAAAACCAGCACAAGATGACGAGCACACATCCATGCGCCATGAATGAACTCTGTGATGCCGTATGGATTCAAGCATCTCTGATTGTGTGCAACATGTATGGGGTGTTATCCATAGCGAAGATTTCTCTCAAATCGACCAGAAAAATCTATGCCTGCACGTAGCAACCTCAAATTTTTATCGAATATATTTTGGTGTGGATTTTACCTCGTGAAATTTCAAATCCCTTCCTGCAACAAATTAGACGAACACCCTTGCCACACTTAGAACCAGAGGCAGACAGTCAAGTTAACCTAGGGTTACGCTTGGGGTGTCATCCATAGAGCTATTATAATGTAAGTTAGAGGTTCAACTGGCGCTAGTGTCTATGCTACTTCCAGGATGCAAAATGAAGTAGACAGCAACCAACCAGTCCACTTTTGCGGTGCTCCTGCACGTTCCTATGGGAAAATGCAAGTGCATTTTCTCTCATCGGCATTGTTATTTCGGTTGTACCAAATAGTATGTACCTTTATTATCATTGTAAAAGTGTAATTGCTTTAGTTAGAGTGTTTCTCTTTACCAGTGAACGCTTTTAAACTTCACTATGCTTAAAGCCCAAACCTCTGTTCCATAGCAGATGTGTAAAAACAAGCGACGATTCAAAGCAAAATAACAATCAAAAGGAATGTAGAGCGAGTTTAAAGTTAGCCAAAATTTCGGCAACGCTTTTACATGCTGATATGCCAGTCCTGTCACTGTATGAAAATGACCCCGTCTCTTGAGCACTTTACGAGCAGTTAAAAACATTTAAAACATAAAGAACAAAGTAATAAAGAACAAAGTATGTGGGCTAGGAAATGCCTCTTTTTATTATTTCCTATGCCTGGCAGCTTTTATCAAAGCTCGTTTTCTCGCTTCTCCAGACTTTCAGATTTTGGGCGTGCTGCGGGTCATGTTTACGAACGCAGAACAAGAATCTTTGCACACATTCATGAGCAGAAAGAATAAAGCAGTACTTATTTATTGCAAATCCAACTTTATTATGTGGCCTTCAATTTATTTTGATCGTCCACATGCACAGGGAGTCACTGACCCAGTGCTACTGCATAGTTCTCGCCTTCTCTTGATTTTCAAGTTGTCCTCCGTTCGTTCGGCATGAATATGCCCCAGGCTGAAAAGTGCCGACGCCGTGTTCGCGCTAACAGTGTCTGACAGTGCACATAAATGCATGTATGAAGCTGTTTAAGTATTAATGCCATGAATTTGAAAGAAAACCAAGAAACTGACCCATATTTTTATCTGCATGACTGAGAAATGTTTTAAGGAATTTGCTCTTACGTATATCGAGCGCAGTGAGGAAATGCACTCACTTTTTCCCACAAAAACGTATTACCAGAAGTCTACTTCCGACTGGTTGCCGTCTGCTTCGAATTGCAACCGCACACTAGCGTACATTAAAATAACTCTATGTCATGAACCGATAGGTGGAGCAAGCAACCATACTCGTTTGAAAGCAGATGACATCATTGTCTGCTCACCGTGTCTACAAGAGATGCCTCCACAAACCCAACCGTAGGTCAACTGTCTTCTGCATCTGCCATAAGCCATGGCAAGGGTGTTGGTCTAATTTTTCGTGGGAAGGGAGCCAAGTTTTGAAATTTCCCAAGGTAAAATTCATGTAAGAGTTCACCAAATTTGAGATCGCTACATGCAGGTATCAATACTTACGGCAGATTTTAGAGTGAGATCCGGTTCTGACAACAACCCTCATGCAGATACGTATGTCAGACCTGGATAAGACTGCTACAGGCTGCTACAGCCCCTAGGGGCAGGGGAACGCCGGCATTACGAACCTTCAACTTCTTGGAACGTTGGTAGAGGTCTGCCATGTCCTTTTTTATCTTCACCAGCTTGGCATGGTAGAGTTTTGCTCTCTGAAACTGTGAGGGATCGTGAGGGTGGCCAATGGCCGAGTGACAGCGCTCCACTCACCACATCCTCGATGTTGTACATCTCCTGCACCTCCGAAAACCTTCCATTTTCTTGTTGTACCGTGTCAATCAGGAGGTGCTGATTCTTCCTGCATGAAAACAAACAATGAAAACATCTTTCGTGGCGGTTCACTCTATTCAATGCAATTTGATGCTTTATTTCTGGGTAAATTGAAGAAATAACTAAAATAAGGACATGGACTTTACATAAAAGAAAAAGAAGAGTTGATTAAAAGTTTCGAATTTCATGCAGGAGGCACCATCTGTAGTTACAGAGCGAGTGAACGGGTTTAACTCAACGTGTTGAGTCAGACCCGCACACTCGCCCTGTAACTATACTGCTGATGATGCCTCCCGCATGAAAGGCATTTAATGAACTTGTTCTTTCTGTTATGTAAAGGTGGTGTCCTTCTTTCAGGTAGGACGTCTCCCGGCTTCTGGACAATTTTTGTAAACTGAAGTGAGCGGCAAACTAAAGGCTTTGGAATAACAACTTGACTGGGCCTGTGGTCATGCCTTAATGCTCATACACCTGATGACGCCTGAGCTTCTTTGCTTAATACTCTGCAGACGGTTCTACCATACGAGGAACTGTACGCAGTACAGCACTCAGTGCAATATGCTTTGTTTTCTCGGCGGTGATGAGTAGCAAGTGAGGAAGAAGGGAGATCCACTATACGAACGTCAGATCCGCCAAGTTTGCTCGAACTCGCTTCAAGTCGGCAACGTATTCCTTGAGGAGCCCCTCCGAGAGTTTCTCCATGGTTTCAGGATCGTACTTGAGCGACTCATCTGGAAACCCCACCAAAGATATAAAAGTGGGGCAGTTTGCGAATGACGTTGCTGCAGGCGACACTTGTTTGTTTTTCTCCGCGGGTGAACTACTGGTACCTTTTTCGAGTCTGTTGGCGACGTCGAGACGGTCCAGCGTTTTCGTGCCGCTGTCATCTTCCAAGCACTCCACTTTGCTGTCCGCTCGCTCCCGCACAGCGCACCCGTTGATAGCTTCGGAACCTTTGCCGTCTGGTTCCGAAGACATGGCACTGGAAGGAAATGATGGGTGGGCGAGCTATTCCACAACACGGGTACAGGGGGAAGCTTGGGGAAGCTCTGAGCCCGCACCACACACCGTGATCACCGTGGTCCACCACCAGTCCACCCTTCACACACACACGGTCAGTGCCATTGTGGTCAGCGCAGTCAGCGCTTCTGGTCAGCGCTGCTGCTGCAGTAGCGACAGTAGCGACGGTAGCGAGCTGAAGTCGACTTTGCTCCTTCGGAGCAGAGTAGCGCAATCTAGAACGCCGCCTCTCGGCGACTAGCGGCGAACGCCCGGAGGTTCCAACTGCGGTCAGAAATGCATGGAGAACGTGAGAAAATCGTTGTTTCTTCAGTAATGTGGGAATGTACGGAATGGCAATCGTTTTTGACATAATAATGGAACATTTTAGAATAATTTGCGCTAAGTTTTGTGCCCCGAAAGGACCTGACTTTTTTTAAAAAATTGCTTGAGCGGCATCATGCAGCAGACGACACGGCGACGTCACACCATTCACGTGACCCGCTCTGGCCAACCCGAAAAGCCCATCTCCGCTGCGAGCAAAAATCGTCTGCTTCAAACGCCATTGCCTTGGAAATTGCCTTCTCAAAATTTGCACACGCATCCGATATTATTAAAACTTTGATAAAGTGTTTAGTGCTTTACTAACTTCATGACAGGCTAGTTTTGAAAAGTGTGAACTCGCCGTTCATTTTTTAATCAGCCGTGTTGTATCGATCTCCATGTGTTCTCCCATAGGGCGGGCCGCCTCCTGGAACCCTGAGTACCACGTGACTCGCGCCGAGCCGCTCTGTCGGCCATGTTGTCGGCAAAACACGGAGTTCAAAGGATTGCGCTACTCTGCTCCGTAGGAGCTATATAGTGCTCTAGACTTTGCAGACTTTTGTACTGGAGCGCCGAATTACTCGTGCGTGGTGGGGGGCTCTCATTACTTAAAAGAGTCAAGATATTATTTTATATTTGGTAGATTATAAAATAATATTAACAACTATCCATGCTATTAATAAAATACCTGGGTGACAGTTTAAAACTGCTTTTTTGTAACACCTTTGGAACGTAATAGCCTAGTTTGAAGTCGTTTCTGCGCCAAGCCATAAATAATCATGGCGCCCGTGGTGGCTCTCTTTGAACTTTTCGCATCGCAAAAATTAACTCTGAGAGCTCACATTCTGTCAAAAAGCAGCTCCAGCCGTTCAAGCAAGATGCCAAAGTTAACACGGAGGTAGGGGCGAGTTGGTTGCTCATGATGTTCAGGGGCAACAGCGCACCCGCAAAGCAGTCATTCAAGTCAACGCACACACAAAAAAAGGAGACACTTACGCAGCGCTGACTGACAACTGTGGTATATTTACACTTTTTTTCTCTTCTGTTTGTATTATAGGCTAGGGCCAGGGAGAATAACTGGTCTTTTTTTCTTTTCTTTTAATATGAAGCTAAATTTAAAACTATACATAAATTGAAACTAATCTAAGGCTAAGTGGTCCAATTCTTTTTGTGATAAGGTTAAAGACGGAGTACTAATAGCGAGTTCGTTTCACGGCACTCGTGCCCACGCGTGCCCACTCGCAGCGTGGAACGGGTTCGTTTCGGCCGGCGCTCCACGAGTGGTTGCACTCTCCGAGTTCGTTTCAGCACTGACACCCCACGCGTGCATGCACTCGCTGCACCGAGAAAATCGGGAGTGCGCCAAAATGCAATCCCGTCATGCCTCGCTCCGGCGGGGCCGGCGAGGAGCGGGAGCAGACGACGAGGGTTCGTTTGCTACGATGTGTCGCGGAACCGAAAGGAAAAAAAGTAGACTTTCTGATAGAAATCGCGTCCCGCGGGCAACGAAATCAAACGCGAGCTTGAATTGTGAGCGTCTGCTATTTCACGAAGGAAGCAATCGACAACCCGTGATTTATTTGCAGGTTTTAAATCGCTCTGTTGCCGTACAAACGCTGAAATATACCAGTGTGTAAAGAAATGCTCAGAACAAACGCAACAGCGGCCCCCGAGATGTCCATCACCATCCGGTGTGCGGGTGAAAAATTTAACATTATTCGATAAAACTCCCCCAGCAGAAACCTCTGACTGCCCAATAAGCAGCAGAGAAAGCTAAAGATGGTGACTTTACCCGAGGATTGGGCAACATCATCATGTTTAACATTTACCTACGCAGCTAACTTGCCCCGTCGTATTTTGTTCGAGAAAGCTCTCGTTCTCGACGCCTTCACCAAGGCTAATATCTAATCCACAATGACGATCCAAATCGAAAGTCCCAGTTTTGCTGGATATTCCAACAGGCTAGTTTTAAGCCGTACCCTTTCAGTCGTTCACGCATAATACCATGCTCAAACGGATGAAGCTTCTGCTCGGACAGCATCATCAGTTTTCTTCAGTGTAAACGGTTATAAGGATTGAAAGATCGCAACCAGTTGCTTTGTGGACAGCTGGTTGCGGAAATTTACGCCGTCTGTAACTATCTCTACGGCAGCCGAGCTGCTTGAAGACATCGCAACTATAAACTACAGGTTGCAGTTGCCAACGTTTGTAGATAAACGTTGGTAGCGACTGCATTCTCGCATTCCCACGCATCACTCGGAACAGCTAGAAAGGCGCTAGTTTCGGTTTGAAGTCGGTACCTTTTCTACGACATAGATGGCGGCAGCATCAGTCTTCTGCACTCGGTGCATTTGGCGAGTTCGTTTGAGTCCAGTTTTCCGTGCAACACTCTGTGAGTGCGATGCATTCTGGGAGAGAACTCGAACGGTGCCAGTGCGTGTGAAACGAACTCGCTATAACACATCTGTCGTTATGTTTTGCGATATTCTCTGCCTCGATAATTTCTTTTGTGAGCTGGTTGTGGTGCTTGCCAAACACGGCGAAGTTACTCAGCAGCACTGAGCAGCCACAGTCTCGACAGTGAATGCCTAAATGTCCGGAGTCTTTATTGGTGAATGTGTTCTTATGTTCACGAAGGCGATCGTTAAGACGGCTTCTGGTCTGGCCTATGTAGAGTTTTCCACAAGAGAGGGGAGAGGAGTACACCACCTTCTCTGTACAAGAGACAAAGGTGTTCTTATGCTTCTTTTTGCAGCCGACAGTTGTAATTGGTGTGGAATTTACTTTTTTTGCACACGCTGCGAAGTTTGTTAGGAGCTGAGAAGATGACTTCCAAGTTTACTCGGTTAGCTATTTTCTTCAGTCCGGGAGAAAAATAATTAATACATGGCACAATGATGGGATGGGGTGTCAGCAATCTCTATCTAGCGCACCACGACAGGAAGTTAAAAGAATCATTAGACACCTCCAAAGTTATAAGAATGTTCCGGTACGTCTATGATTATTCAATCGCTCTAGCTTCCGATGATTGCAACTTTACCACCATGGTCGCCGACGTTCTCGACAGTTTTAAAGCCTGCATGAGCCCTACGAACATCAATTACGAACTTCCAAACGAGTGCCCTTTAAGATTCCTGGATCCTCAACGTTTTATGTTGCCCCACCATTTATGCTGGTCCTATGAGCCCAGGGAAAAAAAAACCCATTACCGTTCAACTCGGCGCATTCAAAACTCGTTAAAAGGAGCATTGTGCGGTTATGCCTCAAAAACTCACTCACAGAATCCTGCTCGCATTCCATCCCAACGAGCTTTGATGGGCAAGTCTCTCGACTAAAGCAAGCAGGATACCCATTCTTGTTACAGTGGCCAAGCAGCTCATTAATGAAAGCAGGTAAGGCATTTGCTATCAAAAAAAGCTCGGACAAAACAAAGAAACCCATCATAATGCCATGTATTCGTAATTTTCCTCACAGACTGAAGAAAATAGCTAACCGAGTAAACTTGGAAGTCATCTTCTTAGCTCCTAACGCCTTCATGAACATAAGAACACATTCACCAATAAAGACTCCGGATATTTAGGCATTCACTGTCGAGACTGTGGCTGCTCAGTGCTGCTGAGTAACTGCGCCATGCTTTGCAAGCACCACAATCAGCTCACAAAAGAAATTATCGAGGCAGAGAATATCACAAAACATAACGACAGATGTGTTAGCACTCCGCCTTTAACCTTATCACAAAAATAATTGGACTACCTAGCCTTAGATTAATTTAAATTTAGGTATAGTTTTAAATTTAGCTTCATATTAAAAGAAAAGAAAAAAGACCAGTTATTCTTCCTGGTCCCAGCCTATAATACAAATAGAAGAAGAGAAAAAAGTGTAAATATACCAGAGAGTTGTCAGTCAGCATTGCGTAAGTGTCTCCATTTGTGTGTGTGTTGACTTGAGTGACTGTTTTGCGGGTGCGCTGTTCCCCCTGTACATCATGCAAAAGTTTCAGCACCAACCGTTATCTTATTCAAAAGTTATAAAGGATTTTTTGAAAATTCCAATGGGAAAATGGATCCCATTTTTGCCCATTTTCGATTTCTAGAGCCATAGAGCTCCATCCATTCGAGAGCTCCGTCGCCCGCCATTTTTTCCATTGAACTTTTCAGAAAATCACTTATAACTTGAATAAGATAACGGTTGGTCCTCAGACTTCGACATCTTGCTCGAACGGCTTGGGCTACATTTTAAATGAGTTGGAGCTCCCGCAATCTCTAGTTTAATTTTGCAGTACGAAATGCCGGGTTCGGATTTCTCTCAAACACGCGGTATATGCAGAGGAACATCATATTCCATTTCTTCTAACTGTTCTGCGTCCTCCCTCTGTTTTATTCTTTCTGTTATACGGGAGTCAAGCATATAGCATTGTGTCAAGTGCCGTGTTCAAATAAATTTAAAAAAAAATGGGTGCTGTGGCATTCTTTGTTTGATGGCGCCCTGGGCCCTATGTTGCGCTTTTTGGACTCCCACGGCGACTAGGGAGAAGGAAGGGATGTCAACAACGCAGTATAAACGCAGATTGGATGTTAATTGGTGAGAGTGGCTGATGACAAATTTCCACAGATGAAAACATACTTTGTTTTCTTCTGCGGAAATTCGTCATCAGCGGCTCTTACCAATCAACATCCAGTCTGCGTTTATACTGCATGGTTGACATCACTTCCTTCTCCCTAGTCACCGTGGGAGTCCAAAAAGCGCAACATAGGGCCCTGGGCGCGCACCCCTAGGGTTGGCCCTGGGTCTGTGTCAGTGGTGTGTTATGAAAACCTGGGTTCAGGCTAAAATATAGTTATATTTG